CCCCCTTCCCTTGTTCCTTACCATCCAAGTGTGTTTCCTAGGGACTGGACAGTTTGCTTTTATTGGTTTCTTGACTGAAGGAACCTGCAGTCCTTACATTTAAGGCATCATCAGGAATGTAATACATCTTATCATGGTTTGGAATTCAAAGCACAGAATGTCAGCTTGCATTTCCAAAAGGCCTTGGCTGTTTCTCTCTCTTCCCCCATTCCTCACCATCCAAGTGTGTTTTCTAGGGAGACAGTTTTCTGCAATTGGTTTGCAAGACCACCCGTGCTTGTTGGTCTTGGTGTTGTTATTTTCATTTATATTGAGTTTGGATAGCAAGTTGGCAAATGCATTTTCATGTCCTCATCAGCTTTGTGTGATTTTTGATTCCTTAAAGCAAACCCATGCTTGTTCTTTTTTGAAGATAAATAAAAGTGAAAATCCATTAATTTAAAAAGAAGATACAAGGGGATCAGTGATGAGAAATCACCAAAGAGAAAAAGATACATCAGAAATAAAAAAACAAAAAAAATTATCAAAAAAACAAAAACATAAAAAAATGCACCAAGAACTTTCTTCCGAATCTAAACAAGCGTAGAAGCAGCCATCCCCAATAGATCTCTAGTAATCCCAGAAAAGTTAAGAGGAAATAAGAACCAATCCAGAAGTAGACTAAGATGGTTTATTCACGTGCATAGAAGATCACCAACAGAGCTCCAATGAGAAGTGATTTGTTATGAGTGGAAGGGGTTAGAAGAGCTAGGGGTAGACCAAAAAAGGACATGTACTAATAATTTAACAGTGGATATGGCTTTAAATCAAGATTTTAGAAGGCTATAGGTGGAGGCAAGGCGGTTGGGTGTGAAAGGGGTGAGGCCTAAGCCTCGAAGGCATTTTGAGGTGTAAGCCTAAAAAAAAAAGAAAATAAAAACTATGTATTTATATTTATTAGAAAAAACAAATGAAGGAAAGATAAGTTATTTTTTTCTAGATTTACATTATCCAACCAACCTGAATTTGACCTGATCCAGGGACCAAGCGAACAATTTCTTTATTAAAAAAGTAATCATATATCCAAAGTGCCAAACTTACTATTTTTTTTTTCATTTTATATTTTCTTAATACTTTTTTGTTTGTTTTTTATTTCTCATTGTGGTCTAAAAGCATTGAGGTTGGTTTATTCTGTGCTTCTCCATTATTGATAAAAAATTGCTTTGTAGTTCCATTGGTTTGTTTTAGACATTTTTAGCTACGTAATCCATAAAGAAGTTATTTCGATGTGGTAACTTAGGGGTCATTTGATAATAGCTGAATATGCTTAATTGAAAAAGCTTATTGCTTTGTCTTTTAGTGAAAGTTCTTAAGGAGGTTGTGGACTCCTTAATGGCATAAACTGAAGTTGGGTAGATTACTATACCCTTGAAAATTTTATCATTTAATTATTTTAACAACTAATATATATATATATATATATAATTTAATAGTAACTCCCATTAACAATATTTCCAAAAAATATCCTTATTTAACCCTAAAGCCTTGCACATCACAAGGTTAAAGTCTTAAAAGTGTAGGCCACTATCAATTCAAGGCCTAAACCGCATTGGAGCGAAAGGCTATTGAGGCCAGGCCTTTTTGGTTAGCCTCGCCTTGAGGCCTAGGCCTTTGGCCTCGCCTCAACAACCTTTTAAAACTATGCTTTAAATAGAATGGATTAGTGAAATGGGATTCATGTACCTGGCCCCATATAGTTGGTATAAGGCATGGATGATGATGATGATGATCCAATGCAGATTTCTTCTTCCAATAACTGAGTATTACTCCTCTTTAGGTTTGGCCTTGCCTTCAATGCGCCTCCTTTTCCTTCCCTTCCAAATCACCCAATGCACTGCAAAAGGAACACATGGCCATGCTATTTTTGCCTTCTTGGATCCTGGCAACACTGGCCAGCTTGAGATTATTTCCTTTGGATCTCTAGGAGGAGCCCCCCCTGGCAGTGATATAGAAGGCGTGCCTAGGCACACAAGCGAGGCACATTTTTAGGTGTGCACCTTGCCTAGGCCATAGGCACAACACTTAGAAGTGTGTGCCTTTTTTATTTTTTGCACTTTTTGTTCTGTTTTTTTGAACCCAACGGTTGGGCCTTGGAGTGGAGTAGAACCCCCTATTTGCTAATGTTGTTCATTCATTGATCCTAATAAAATATCTTCTTAAAAGACACTTACAATTATTAAAACTTTGTTTTTGTGTAGGGATTAAGAATTTAATACCCTAAAAATTGACTTGTTTGAGCCTGTCTCAATGGTCTCTTGGTGCAAAGGCAGCTTGTTGAATCAGGAATGCAAAATGTTTTACATCACATTAGCTATTTGAAGTAATACAATTGGGAAAATGAAACGATTAGGTGCAAAGTGGGAAAAAAATGATTAGCTATTTGAAGTAATGCAAAATGTTTCATTTGAGTATGTTTTACGTGTTATGTTTATGCATTTTAATTTTAGATAACCTTGTGCAGTTGCGCCTCAGGTGCAAATTGGCCCTTGTGATATTTTTTGTTAAACATTGCTCCCTCTGTAAACCAAAGAGCCTGAAAAATAAATCCCAAATGAATGGTGAAAAGCTGCGCTGAACTAGGAGGTGAATGATACCATCCTTAACATCACAACACAAATAACATCTAATGATCTGCATCCTTCTTTTCTTTTAATGATCTTGAGTCAAAGTGCCTTTTTATTGGTGTTTTCCACTTGATTCCTGGCTAAGTACCTGTAATAAGATTTCACTGTAAAAATTCCATTTTTACATTCTTTCCACCATTCCATCTCTTCTTTGTCAACCTCTAACTCCACCATTTGAAGATTAGCCAAAAGTCTCACACAATCCTCCACTTCCCAAATCCCAATCAAACATGTTGTTCTAAAAATTGGGCACCAAACAACCCTAACTTGTTTAACTTGAAAACATTGAGCAATTGAGATGTTCTTCCTGCAATCCTGCTTAAGTTGTAGAATCTTGGGAGCACATCACATAACCTTCCACAACCAATCCAATCATCTTTTCAGAATTTGATTATTGTACCATCTCCCACTTTTAAATGAAACACAATTTAATAAAGCTGAATGAAAATTCATGATTCCCTTCCAAATGCAAATTCCATAAGCTGCTCTTACCTTTCTTGAGTGCCATCCAAAACACAACTCCATAAGGCTCTCTTACCTTTCTTAAACGCATGTTTGTTGGCTCCTATCCTTCTTAATTTCATTTATATTTTGCTTTTTGATAAATTCATTTCTAATTTGTTTGAATGGCAATATCTATAAAAAAAAAGTTTGAATGGCAACTTAGCAACATACCTACATGACTTGGAGCCTGATTGTCTAATTGAACTACATAAAATAAACTAGATTCTAAAGATCTAAAATATGGTTAGCAGATGCAAGAGATTCTCATAGTCATGTTATGGCTGGTAAGCTTCATGCAATCTTTAACTATTTGTAGATAAACATTGTCAAGGAGATGAGGAGATCCAAGTATTTGTGAAACATATGCCAGACAGTATCTTAGTAAATACTTCATGTACCTACCAGCTGTATGCTGAGGTGTATAATTTTAAATAGGGGAGAAGCCCTAGTCAGCTCACCTTTAAATCTTTCTGGCAAGAAATTGATGACCTTGAGACTGTTGAATGGGAATGTTCAGAAAATGTTGAATTACATAATAAATTGCTGTGATCTTGGAGATTTTTCCTTTGAAGAACCACCAATAATTCCACCAACAACTGTCCTCTTCCCCTCTACATTGAGATAAAGAAGTGAAGCCATTTGATGGTTTGAGAAAATGGTCTTTTTTCTCTCCTATGTCTAAACAAAGTAGCAAAGAACAAAAACCCTACCTTAGGATATGGCTGTTATTGTGTTGTTTTGGGCTGGTTAGGTTAGAGCCAATCCTTAGTTGATAACGCGATTCATTCAACTAATGTTATGCATCTTTATTCTTCTTAATATAATTTTTTTTTATTAAAAATAAAGAAAAAGTGAGATCCCCCCTTCATCTTCATCCTCCTCCCCTTCCTCCTAACCCCCCTCCTCTTAAGGAGGCTTATGTCTCCTTGTGTTTGGGAGGCTTACGCCTCTTGCGTTCTGAACTATGCCTCATACCTCTAAGTAGTGGAATGCCTCGTGTCACGCCTCCTTGTTTTAAAACATTGAGCTGAACTATGATGGATGTGGTTTTAGAAACTTAGGTCAATCAGGTATTGGAGGGGTATAAGAGATGCATTTAACCAAAACATGGATATTCCTTGAGAGTTGAGCTGCTAGTTTATTAAGGATTTAGATTGACATCCTCTTTCAACCTGTCAACTTTGGTGGTGGAAGGTGACTGTCAAGTGGCTGAATCATGGTTCTTTTCAACAATTTCAGGTGCTTGGGCTCTAAGGCATCTGATTAAAAGCAAAGCCTTTGGGAGCTAGTATGAACTGTTTGGTTAAGTTGCCCCTTAAATTTGCTATTAGCCTTGCTAATGCATTAGTGAGAACTGAATGAGAACTGGGACCGCAAGATGTGTTCTTGTTTGGGGCATCCCAGGTCAAGGTTATAACAGTTAGACCAAAGAGGTCAAGGTTGTAAAAATGAACGAAGTCTGATAATAATGGTAGTGTTTTGGGTTAGCCTTGGGATGCATTTTCATCTATTGGTTCCCATTTCAATATCCTTGGGAAGGTTTGCATTTTTCTATCATTAACAAAAAATTTTTCTATCATCAACAAAATCATTAGGAGTTGCTGAAAAAAAACCCTACAATGAGCAAGTGAATTGCATTTCTTGTTATCTGCTTGAAGCTTGATGAGATGATGTTGACGTGGTATATTATTCTCTTAGAGATTTTCATTGATTAATTTCTCCATTGGTAGTCTTCAAATAGTAATATGCTTTCTGATGCTTTTTCTAATGGCGTTCATTTTTTCCATGGTGTTGCAGTTGATTGCTGTTATTCTTGGCCACATTTGGTCTTCTGAGTAAGTCTTGGCATTTGGGTTCTGTTTCTGTATCTGTTACCACAAGGAGATTTATATGGACTTCAAATACTGCTCTTGGTTCCTTAGTATGAAGATGTTGCTCCTGTGCAGGCATCCTCGAATGAGAGCAAGAATTGAATTGCTACTTAAGCAGCAACGATTGACCAGGAAGGATGTGAAGGATATTCTCCAGGTAGATTTTCTTTAGCCATCACCTTTTCTTTCTTCTTGTTTCCCATATTTTTTTTTTGTTTGATTTATTGATTCCGAGGTTTATGCTATATTGGGCTTGTGGAATGCTACATGGTCTAGGATTAACAGTTATTTTGTTGGGTTTATTGAATTCCAATACTAATTGGTGTACCTTTCCTCAAGTATGGAATATCAGTGCATTTGATTGATTGTATTTGATGAACAACAGGAATATCATGACAACATTGGGGATCTGGATGGACCAGAAGAAAAAGAGCGTGCTCAGTCCAAGATTCAAAAGTTCATTACAGCCTTTTCAGAATGATGAACAACAACACTTTGGTGCCGAATGTGGAACGACACATAAAATGCTTTAAAGCTGTTGACTATTTTACATCCAGATGGATAAAGGGACAAGAGAAGGACCTGATGTATAGATGACGTATCATCGTGTCGGCACTTCTTTTATTGTCGTTTATTTCATTTCCATCACCAGGTATTGTAAGCAACTTCTCAAGTAGGAGCTCCGACATTGAGCGTTACTTGGAATCATTAATCATAGAAGACATTTCATCATCGGCCACCATCATTTAGAGTCGACTTACTTCATTGAGCCTACTTTGTTTGTTCTGTAGTAGAATGTAACATAAATTTTATTCTGTAAGAATACGATTTTTTTATGTTTAGGCTTTCTGCAAGGTGAAGTGAAACTGATATCCTGTCTTAGTGTGATTGCTTTGCCCATTCAGGGTTGCTACTGTCACTGGCGATCTAACATCAGGTGATGATAGGCCAGTCTATTATTGCTAGCCAGGCTCTTGACAAAACAAACTTGCTTTCCATTTTTAGAGGGAATTATCCATAAAATTAGTATCCATTGTCTTGTTTACTTCAATCTTCGTTATCTGGTCTTTGCCCTTCTGCCATTCTCACGACTCACACAGCCGCCTATTCATTAGGGGCTGGGCACTTCACCTTCATTGTTGTTTGGACTCTGGATCTCCTACCTACAATAACTCTGCCCACGCCTACCCACAATACACTATCCCGTGAATTGGGGCTGCATAGACCTGGCAATTGGGTTGGGTTTGCGTTGATTTCGGGTCGGGTTGAATTTTGGATTGGGTTATCAAATGCTAGACCCTAACCCTAAATGTTCGGGTTAGGGTTGACCCATGGGTCAATTCGGGTCATTCCAAAAAATAATTGAAATTAAAAAAAAATTACATGAAATTTGTCAAAATTAAAAGAATTAACCTTAGAATTCTAAATATAAAATAAAAAACTTGAACATTTAACAATTTAAAGAGTAAATAATAAAAAGTAAAAAATAAATAGAAGAAATTAACCCATGACCCAACCCAACCCAGCCCAGTATTTTTTTGGGTCGGGTTAGGTCATTTTCACATTCGGGTAGCTAAATATGAGACCCTAACCCTGTTTTTTCGGGTTGGGTTAACTTTTTGCCAGGTCTACCTTTGCATAATAGTATGCAGAGGATGAGATGTTCTTTATGTGTGACTGCGATAAGTGTGGGCATGAGATCCGGACTCTGTTGTTTGTAGTATATTAGAAGTAAAATTGGGATAAAAGCCCTTGACAAGGATTTTTAACTATTGGGTCGTTCGTTCAATTGGTTAAAATTTTGATATGTACCTCTTGGGGGTGGATTCGGATCTTTCGATTCAAGTTTGACTTATTTGAAAAACATCAGGCTTGAGTTTGATTCGAGTTAAAAATAGGATGTAGAATTCAGCTTTTGGCTCTTTCACACTGAATCAAGTTTCATATAAAAAATAAAAATTATACTTATATATAAATAAAAATTATACATACAAGAACTTTATATTGTGATTTTTTATTATACTTACAAATAATATACACATAAAAACTTAAAAACATTAATATAACATAAGCTTGATTAGGTTTACGAGCTTTATGAGCCACAAATTTCATTAGATTTGAGCTCAACGTTATTAGCAAACGAGTCCATATCTTGGGTTGAGTTCAGCTAAAATCGCGGTTAAGATTGAACTGCATTGAGTTTGAATAACTTGTGGAAAACTGAGTTTCATCTTTAATACCTTTTCTTGTTGCTTGGAGGTGAGGAAGCTCTGCCCCAGAGCAATAATGCTAGAGCACCACTTAGGAGACTGATAAGGAGAGGCAGCTCTAATCCCATCTAGATATTGTTGAAACTTGAAACACAAGTTGGTTCATGAAGAAATTTATTTATTTATTTTCCGACGATAAACAAAAAGCAATACTGTGCAGCGTCGATAATGTAAAACGGAGCTGAAGTTTTTTCCATGTGTCAGTTTGAATGTTCAAACATTAAGTTTGAAATGGTTAGACTGTGTCTGTGGCATCATTGAAATCTTAGCTTATGCTCCTTAACAAGGCTCAAATTTCAAAATATTCAAAGTATCCGTGCGTATCATATGATACGTATTGGTATTTGAGCCCACTGAAATGCCATATCAAGGGATTTAGTGGGGTTCGTAAGAATGCCTTCTAATCTAAATGTTTATCATTGAAACCTCACACAGAAATAATAATAATAATAATAATAATAATATCGTCCCTGAATTCGGATTTGGTCCTCACAAGGCTGTTCTCACACCATATTCACAGCCCTTGCATTAGGAATATCTCCCCATAAATAAAAACATACAAGTATAGAGATATCCCTAATACATGGCTGCAAAAGGACTGAGGACAGTGAGAACATATCTGTCTCTAGATCCAATTTTCATTTTTTATTTAATCAAGAAATTTATTCCAATCATTTTTCTAGATCATAATTATTATTGACAAATCTCTAACTAGATTACAAGGTGAGATCATAATATGAAAAAAGATCTATAAAAGTTAAGGATAAAAGTATCGATATTGGATATCATGTCAAAAGAAAGATGAGAAAGCTCTTGGATACATTAGAGAAATGCATACAAATCATATAAATACATTAATAACAGTAAATCTAAAGTTGAATTATCTATGAATAAGGCATAAACACACAAGAAACACACACTTTAATAGGTTATATGAAGAGAAACATTACAATTAACAATGTTGGGACTCTAGAACATGTACACATCATACAATAATTATTTCAATTTTTATAATTATAAATTTTAATTTTTATTGAATTTTTAGATAAATTAAATATTAAATTATTTATTTCAGTTTTATATTTATAAATTTTTATTTTCTATTAAATTTATTGTGAAAATATATTTATTTAGTATTTTATATAATAACTATTTTTTCAAATAATAAATATGTTTTCATTTTTAAAATATAATTACGTGTAAATAAAACATATAAATCATTCAAGGTAGATAAAATATATTATTCTTATATTTTTTTATTTTTTATTAAATTTTTGGGAAAAATGAAATATTAAATTATTTGTTTCAATTTTTATAATTATAATTCTTAATATTTATTAAAATTGAAAAACAATCCAAAAGCAGTCAATACATAATATCATCAAATTAGGCAATGATATGCTTCCGTATCGATACACATTGGATCATATCCACCGATACAACACAATATGGCCTGATACAAAGGTGTGTGTGCCAATATGCATGACTCTTGGGATTGTGGCATATCCCATATCTATGGCCATGGATATGGATTTTATACATCTCGTATTGGGAGTGTATGATAATGAATTAGTATCATAATCCTAATCCATGATGAAACTAAACAGTTTGTATCATAACCCTAGTCCTAACAAATTCTGCTTTAGTACCATCACGAATTCTACCTATTTTAATTTTTAAAAATAAATAAATAAAAAATAAGCCATATGAAACATCTCACTATTTTAATATCTAATTAAAACATACTTTATAATGGATGTTCCACAGATTCTATGTTGAAAATTAGGTATGGAAGTTCCCAAACATGAATGATCCAATCGGTCAGTGTTTTCCTCAATTAGAAATCACACTGCTCCCTTATCTATCGCTTTTTTAAGTACACTTGACTAGGCAATAGTTGGGGTTGTTCGAATTAGGGGTGGATTAAAGTCTAGCTGAACTGAATATCTAGTTATTTGAGCTTGGTTCAAGCTCGAGCTCAATTTGAATTAGAGACTTGAGTTAAAGTTCGGCTCAAGTCAAAAGCTTGTAAGCTCGAATGCGGCTTAATTTGAGTTCGATTGTGAGCCAAATGTTTTATAAAAATAAAAATTATATTTTTTACTTGACATTTAAAAATTAATTATTATTGTTATATATAAAAAATAAAAATATTATATATATATATTATTTTCTATATGTATAAAAAATCAAAAGCTCGGCTTGTGGCCACCCTTAGTTCGAATTGCTCTCTTTGGAATTGTACAAACTCACTTCTTGAGTCTTGAGCCCTCTTAAGAGTGGTAGGGGAATATGGTACTAGTTGGGATCACCTCTCAACAACACATGCTCCAACATGCTTCCAACATGATCTAACACCGGACATCTCACCATGAGATTGGGACCCTTCATATATGTGGGGTGTCATATCATGTTGGGAGAGTGTTTGATCCGATAAAAGCTGGATTCTGATACCTCCCTTGATCTTAATAAATCGGATCAGATCAAAAAAGTTGATTTGTTCAGTTAACAGATCGAATTCAGATACACCCCGATCCTATTTGCAACAACCTGATCCAATCCATTAGTTATGAAATGTTATATATTATATATGTATATTTATATATATTCTATATATTATTTATATTATATCATAATTTTTTATTACAACTTTAATCGAATTGGAAATCGAATATGATATTCGAATTTGAATCATACTCTTGAAAATCCGACATATTCTTATCTTGGATTTCTCAACAGATCGGATTGGATATCCATTTGCAGCCCTATTGGAACATATTTTATTGATTGGTAATTTAGACTCGGGGAGTATGGGGTGTGAGATCCAATTAGAGCTTCTATCCTTAAGGCCTTGTTCGCTTTTCGGTAAGTTACTTACCTAGGTAAATGCAATTACCTGGGTAAGTTTTTATTGAGAAACACTTATATACCCGGGTAAGTGCATTTGCTCATGTTCTTTTATTCCTCATGTAAATAAGGCAGTGACCATTTTAGCCATAAAAGTCCATTATTAAAAGGGGCATTTTTGTCCCATTCAAGTGTGCAACTTTCCCCAATTGGGGAAGTTATTTACCAACCTAGGAGATGAGTATACCCAGGAAAATAAATTTTCCCCGGTCCCCACATAAATCTCAAAAAGAACATGGAATTTTTGGTTCCCCTCTCAAAATTTGAAAAAAGAACAACCCTTAAGAGTAACCTTGAGATTGAAACCTTCTTCCCAATCTCTCTAATATGAGGTTAAGATTGAAAATCTTTTAAATATTGTAAAGAGGCCTAGTAACACATTTGCAATTGCTTTTTAAGTCCATGGAATGATGATGGAAACCACCAAATAGCTCCTTTCATAAAAAATGGAATGACAGTTATGTATTGTCTTCTATTTGGGGTATATAGGTTAACCTGATGGCTGATGCAGTAGTGGCATTTGAAATATAGAAAAATGTAAAAAGCCATCCAGGTTGGGTAAGCAGGTCAACATGGGTACCCACGGTTTTTGAACCGTGTTGACCTAAATGGTCTGACCATTCAGCCTGAAAACTGTTTAAGCAGTTGATTCCATTTCATCTTAAAATTATTATTGGGCCAAAAATTGTTGACTTGGCAATGATCCATTGACCTGAGTGGTTGAATCATTGATGAGACAACAGTTTTGATTTTTTTTTTTATTTCTTTTAAAATTATAACAAGTTCATTCAAACTGGATGGCAGGTGGCCAAAACTATTCCAATTCTGGGTCAGTTTTTAAAACATTGGCAATTATAATAGATTACTATTGGGTTTGGGTCAATACTCTTTAACGGGTGGATTGGCAGACAACCCACATACAAGCCAACCCAACTCAACCATCTGCCAAGTCCCACCTCCCGCCTCCAAGTATGAAACTAAAAGGTTGCCCACCCAACTCATAACTAGTTTGCTCGCTCTTAATTACCCTATAAAGGGTTTAAAACATTCTCAAGTGGGATTTTAAATAAGCAGTTCTAAGTGGATTTTTGTCGAACACTTTGCATGCGATCGAACTAGGCGAAACTCAAGCATCGAACATGGGAAAGAGAAACAGGAAACCCAAAACTTCTGTTGAAGCCCCAAAATCTATCACCACCTCCCAAGAACAGCTGCAGTGAGTGGTGTAGAACACTTCTTATGCTATAAGTCAGATCTCATGATCTGTTTTTGCTTTGCAATGTTAGGATTTCTATTTACTGATTGTTAATAGTTTTGTATGGATTAAGGTCTAAGTGCTATGAGGGAGAAGATCTTACTCGTTTACTCGAATCGATAAAGAGGTATTGTTCTTATAGTTCTTTGCTCTTTTCGTAAGTTGAAAGCATTGCATATCTTGATTAAAATCGTGTATTGGATTCTGAATCGAATATATAAATTGTTGATATTCGATGGACCAACTGGGTTATTGATGGACTTGCCTTCATGTGTTGTCTACATATGTTATTTTGCCTGACAGGGAGATAGAGTTGGCAAAGCTTTCAAAGGGAACCTTGCCTGAAAAGATATGGATAAAGGTGTGTCCAGTGTTTGTAATATCATGTAATGATTCTGGGTTAAGATGAACAAAATCCTTTATTTGGGTGTTGTGACATTTAACCTCTTGGAATTGTTCTGCACTGATATGTTATACTTATATATGGTACATTATCAATTCCATCTAGGAAGAATAACATTCAAACAAGACCCACCATTAGGTTAGCGGGGAAAGGTATTTTCACTCTGAACCACTGGCACAGTGATCCTTGTTTGGTGTTAGTCTTTTACAATAAAATTGTTTTCCTCGTGAATTCTGACATGTGTGGCATTGTGCAGCAACAATTTTCAATCGGGGTTAATGATGTAACTCGTGTGCTAGAACGAATGACTACACATGCTGAATTGGGAAATTCTCTTCAGAAGTCATTGATACTCCCCTCTGGTTGTAAGGCTCCTTTAATTGAGCTTCAGGTCAGTTAGCTCATCTTTTTTCTTTGGGGCACCTTCTTGTTTCCTGAATATACTTGCTTTTGTCAGCATAGAATTTCTGCTCTCTTGGCATTCCAGTATCAGGTAGTGTTGGTTACTTGGTTTTCATCACTCACGTTCTTAACTCAACTCAAGTATTAATCCTAACTATTTGGATTAAGCTGCATGATTCCTTTTCATTGGAATTTTCCAATATATTTTGTTTAATTGTTCAAAGTTGGTTTTGTTTCTAATGTTTTCTTTCCCCCCGCCAAGAAGCACATTTTCAATCATGAGTTTGTAGTTTCATTGATAGACTTTTCTTTTGAGGCAAGAAAATAGCCTGTGGTTTTATTGAAATTCCCCCTCTCCCTGGTTCTGTATAACCCAAGTTTAAATACAAGAAGTCACTCAACCAACTCTCCTAAACTTAAGCAACCATCTATTCAATACTTTAGCAATATTCTTAGCCTAGTCAACAGCAACTGACGCAACCAATAGTGAGATATTCCCTCACTCGTTTATTTGACTCCTACTCATTTATTTGACTCATTCTTAAGCCTAACAGCTAGCAGATATGCATGTCCATGCATCCTGCACTTCATGCAACGTAGTCCTGATAACGTGGATTCTTGGCATGGTTCCTTGCTGACCTTCTCCACATATC